CCACGTGGGGGCGGTCTGACAGGTGCTGTCCCTACTCCTGCCTAGCAAGTTTCCCTTTCTCCTCGCCCATTGTCACCGGTCTGCTGCAACGAATTCTGGCTTTTGTCGCGCAACGTTTTGGAAGCCATGTCGTTGCAGAACCCTTCCCACGTTTTCAAAACCAGCTTCAACCATGTAGGTTTCAGCTTATAATCAGACACGGTATTGGACACCAGCGCGGCGTCGATCCCGAACTTCATGGAGCACGCGACGTCGTCGATCTTGATGGACTTCCCTACGAATCCCAGCTGGCCAAAGCTTTTTCCACAAGAAGCAAACGCAGGGGCACTCGAACATGTAGCGGTTGATCCAAATAAGCCCAAACCCTTTTGCCTGAGCACGTGATGGCCTCGAACCGGAGCATCTTCACAGCGTTTTGAAGGTCATCGGGGCTCGCCATTTTTCCAAACGCGAGTCCATTGTAGGACTATCATTTAATGAACATTTCGAACGGAGGTGGGATCTGTGCTTTCCGGAGCCCCTCTTTCATAAGCTGCTCGGCCTCCGCCATGGAAGAGAGGCCATCCAAACCACCGCAAATGGCGATCACGGATGTTGAATCCGAGGCCCATCGCGACGTCGTCAAGTGCTTCAACATGTCCTCCATCTCCGCCAAACGAGCCTCGACTGACGCCCGTCTGTCCAGTTTACCGAAAGAGCGTGGAGTTACTTGGGCCGATGCCATCTCGAGTGTTTCCACTCGCTGCGTAATGTATGCGATGTCATCCTGGACCAGTTGAAGAGCTTCTTCGAGATGTTGTCGGGAGACTCCATGTTCTTTGATTGCCGTGATGTCCTGACGGAGTGGCGTCAGACGTGCATTCAACAGCCGTGCCATGGACGAAATTGCCAGTGGAGTGTGATCCTGTGCATCGTCGAGCTGCGTCTGAAACTCCTGCTGACGACGTGGCGTGGGGACATCATCGTCCATCTCCTGCAATGGGCTGGACCCGAATCTCGCTTTCTTGAGCTCCTGCTTGCTCGGCGTGGACATGAGGGGCGTCTCTGCGGAGCTGCTGCCCGATACTCCACCCACAGAAGTGCCCGGCTGCAGAAAATTCGCTGGCATGGAAGACAAGCGAAAAAGGCAAAAACAACGTATGTGCGTGTGGGAATAAATTGTAAAGGTGAGTGCATAAAGAGGGTGGGCACCTGGAAAACTGAATCACGAGGAAGTATCGAGCGGGAGACTTGAACCACTGGCATGTAAAGCCTGCCACTGGGATCTGTGGAGCCCCCTATGGGGCCACGAACCGTGTTATGGGTGCGCCGGCATGAATCGTGGGGACGCATGTAAACCCTGCCATTGGGGCCTTGCATGGAACTCCCTATGGTGCCACGAACCGTGTGAAGGGTGTGCCGAAATGAAGCGCGGGGACGCATGTAAACCCTGCCGCTGGGGGCTTCGGTGGAGTCCCCTATGGGGCCACGAACCGTGTGAGAAGTGTACCGAAATCAGTCGTGGTGACGCAGGTCAAGCCTGCCACTGGGGCCTTCGGTGGAGCTCCCTACGGGGCCACGAAGCCTTTGAGCGGTGTGGCGAAATGAGTCGCGGGGACGCATGTAAACTCTGCCACTGGGGTCTTTGGTGGAGCTCCCATGGGGCCACGGACCGCGTGCGGGGTGTGCCAAAATGAATCGCGGGGGCGCACGTAAACCCTGCCAATGGGGCCTTCGCTGGAGTCCCCTATGGGACCACGGACCGTGTGAGGGGTGCACCGAAATGGGGGTGAAACTGCATGCGAACTTTGCCACTGAGGCCTGCAATAGAGCTCCATATGGGGTCGTGAACCGTGTGAGGGGTGTGCCAAAATGGCGGGTGAACTGCATGCGAGCTTTGCCACTGGGGCCTTCGGTCGAGCTCCCCATGGGGCCACGAACCGTGTGAGGGGTGGGCCGAAATGGGTGCGGAACCGCATGCGAACTTTGCCACTGGGGCCTTCGGTGGAGCTCCCTACGGGGCCACGACCGTGTGAGGGGTGGGCCAAAATGGAGGTGGAACCGCATGCGAACTTTGCCACTGGGGCCTTCGGTGGAGCTCCCTATGGGCCTATGGGGCCACGAACCGTGTGAGGGGTGGGCCAAAATGTGAGGTGGTGAAAGGAGGGAGGAGGGGGAGGAGGGCGGGAAGGAGGAACGCGGGGACCGTCTCTTCAAAACGAGGACCCAATACCACAGGATGGTATGGCGAGTGGCACCATGACGACGACGATGTAGGACAAGGCAACGCGAAGTTGTCCTTATTGATTATGTGTTACCTTCCTGCCCGTCCGCCGCGACTCCCGCCTGCACGCCAAACTTCAAGGACCAAGGTGCATGGCGCGAACTGCCAATGCAGTGTTGTATGTGTAGAAATATACGTCCAACACCGTGCCTCTGGCACGAAGTGGAGCGCACCAAGGCTCATGCCGAGCTGAGAGGTCGACGCGGTGCTGCTTTTGCAGCGAGAATGTAAGTCGAAGGGCCCAGAACAGTCGTGTCCCAAGCCTTCTCGGGGACTCCCTGGCTGGCCCCCGTGAGATCTGAAGTGTTTCCTGCGCCTCCTGTGGACGCTCTGCCCCCTCAGAGCGACCTCCCCAACACTCTCACGAGTCCAAGAAGGCCCCGAGTCGCCAAAGCCGCTCCCAGTCGCCAAAGATGCCCTCAAGATGGCCCAAGAGGCCTCCAAGACGCCACAAGAGGCCTCCAGGAGAGACCTCCCAAGAGGGCCCCAAGAGGCGCAAACCATTGAGTTTGCCTTTCTCGCCTTTTCTGCTTCTTGCGCTCGAAGACGGCCCAAGATGCCACCAAGACCACCCCAAGACGGCACAGGAGGCGCCCAAGAGGCCACAAGAGGCACCCAAGAGGGCCCCACAAGGAGCCCAAGAGGGCCCCAAGAGCCCCAAAAGAGGTCCCAAGAGGCCCCAGAACGGTTCCCAAGCACTGAGCACTGAACTGAGCAGTGAGCACTCCCGCACACGTGCACAGTCTAGGGTGCTGCGGGCGCGGCACCCGAGCGCAGGAGTTCTAGACAAGTCGCGTGTGCTCACTCGTTTCTCATGTGTGATGCGTTGTAGATTCAAGTTCAATGATATCCCAATGTTTCGCCGCTGCAATGAATATATCCGAAATAACCGTGTCGTCACACGTTTGGGTGCAAATAAAACGTCGGATGTCGTCAATACATCTGGATGTTGGCCTGCTCGTTCTGCGTCGAGCATTATAAAATTGGACCCAATTGTGGAGCCCATTGAAGTACGTGCCGAGTCAACTCTTGTTCACCAGCTTTGCTGACTTTCCGTATATCCGGTGCCACTTTCGCTGACGTACTGTGATCATCCAATCAAGGATGTATAATGTTGCCATGGTTGCCTCTGCCTTGTGAGTTGCTCGTTGGATCCATTATGCCCAAGGTTCCTGGATGTATGTTGTGTCCCCGTCTTCGTTGTTAACTGGTGTGGGACCGGGCGGCAAACTTTCTACGTCACAACCGTCGTCATCATCGTCGCGGTGGTTGTCGTTGTGCTGATTGTCTGTGCTGGTGCCGTTTGTTTGTGGTAACATCGGTGAACGAGTGGCTGTTGAGGTGCGCCGCGGCACTCGTACAATCATGCAAAGCATTTGTCGTTGCGTTCGTCAGAGTCGATGTTCTAGATCATCTGTGAGCATCCACGCTACGCATCCATAGAATCATGGGCGTGAACCGTTGAAGAGGCAGAGCTGGTCTGATTGTGAACTGCCTCTAAGAGGCTCCCGAGAGGCCCCAATCAGATCCCAGCAAACATCCAATAGGCTTTATATCCACAAACCAGGCACGGTGGCGGAATGGGCCGAGTGCCATTACATACATAGATACCTACATATAGGTATACACACATAGACACACACCTCATTCTATATATAGGTATCGCTCTCTCCCTCTCTCGCTCTCTCTCTCTCTATCTTTCTCTCCCTTTTGTTTTGTCTCTCCCTCTCTCTATATGTATACAAACAGATACACCATACCAAAATATCCAGGCAGGCGATCCGTCACGGGATCAAACATTCATGTTCAAGCAGCGCTTTGCGCGATGACCCCTGCCCTGCGTGCCACTGCGATACTCACGGGATGCTCGCAAAGTAACCTGAAACAGGGCTCCGCAAGAAGGCTGAAGCATGCCCAGCGAGAGCTGCCACATGCCGATACGCCCAGGGAACTGAATGAAACGACTCCTGCGCGAACCCGCGCCAGCAGGCTAAAAAAAGCCCAATGTGACACGGCAGGTTCGCGTCGTGTCGGCCCCGACGTTGGTTCCTGACACCGCGGGGATCGTTCAAACTCGAACGATCGGCCGGCCATAACCGCCGGATCGTTCAACGACGGGCCGATTCTGGGCCATGGGCGGCGTTCAACCTTAAACGCACGCGCTGCGGTCGCCGCCAGTCGGCACGACGCGAACCTGCCGTACGCCGGCGGGCACCAGCGGACAGAACGAGACACGGCGATCGGGGGCTGCAGTGCTCCCAGCGGCTGCGATAGGCCAACCGGGCAGACCGCGGCAAGCTAGCCCTGCGAGCTCCCCGCCTCTGGCGAATCCAGGAGGAGCGGGAGCTGGGTCCCACTCGTCGCTTCGGGTTCACCGTGTGATAAAAAACATCGGCTGGCGCTCCTGCCGGCCGAGAGCCTTCCTATGATTTCATGTGCGCATGCCAGGTGTTCCCATGGGCGTAGGGCTCTTCCCCTCGCTGACTTTCCTGTCCTGCGCAGCTGCGGCTTATCTCATACCTGACACCCTGCTTTGCCAAGATTCTCTGAATCAGAACCAGCAGGCTCGAGCTGGCACGAAGCAATCGATTCAAGCATTCCCCACTACACGATGTGTTCGTGACGTGCCCTCCCAGAGCTGGACCAACCCCTCTTCTCGAGTCGTTTCTGTTCGACGCCCCAGGGGCCAGAAGAACTCTGGCGTGACAGATCACGGCGGGTCGCGCGGCGCCCTGTCCCGAATCTGGAAGTTGTAGAACTTGACCGCCTCTTGGGGGTGACGCCACGCCCCCCGCACGAGAATGCCAACCAGACACCTATACCGGTTCTGGCCAAGCACATCCTGGGCCTGAAATCGGCGAATACACCGACCCATGCTGGTCAGACAAGCGTATTCACCGACCCTGAGCGGCCAGCCTGGCCAAAGTCAATGTGTGTCTATCTAATGTACATGTCCCGGCTCTGGTCCAAGTCGTCCCTTCCGTTTCCGCTCTCCCACCTCGTGTTCCTTCCCCTTTCTACGCCTCCTTCTCCTCCTCCTCCTCCTCCTCCTCCTCCTCCTCCTCCTCCTCCACCCTCCCCCTTCCACGTCCTCCTCCATCCTTCTTCCCTGAGGGATTCCCTATAGGTACCACCCCTGTCGCACGACCAGACGTGTCCGTCGGTTGCTCCGGGCGTTTCGCTTGAGACTTCCAGAGCAACTGAGAAGCTGAAGCATGTCATACGGAAGGAAGGCCAGTCGTTTTCAAATTGGGGTTCCCCCCTCAACGCCGCACATATTCGTCCAGAATGTTTGTAACATGTACAAAGATTGACGCCAGTTCGTTTCACAATACGGCTCTCGTCTGGCCCCCGCCTACGTTCGTCTTCCACGTTCGCAACACCATGAAACATGGGAAGGCGGAAGGTTTGGGAAACACGGCTTGGGCGTCATCGCCTTGCGCATTCGACTGCGAATAGTGCAACAGCTACAAAAATGGAGGCAGTCTGGATTTCAAAACGCGGCCCTCAATTAAGCGACGCGCTCTCCGTCTAACACACTTGCGCCTGTTACAAGGATCGGGGACACTTCGTTTTCAAAATGGAACCTTCCCCCCATCGCCCTCCCCCCTCCAGCCAGAAGGGCTTATCCACCTCCTACTCCTCCCTGCCTGCCAACCTTGAAGCCCTTGGCCAAGAGAAGGAGGGCTGGAGGGAAGGGGAGCGAATGCGGAGGAAGGGAGTATGAGGGAAGAGGAGGTGGAGGTGGAGGAACACCAGGGAGAAGAGAATGAGGCGGGCAGACGGAGAGGGGAGCTTTCGACATCTTTCGACCCTCTACCTGGGACCAGCTTTTGTCCCTGGGGTCGTTCTGTCATGGCCCTGCGGCCCAGGGCAGTCCAGAAACCCTAGCCAACGCACACCTGGCCGTCTCGACTGCTTTGTATAGAAATCAATACATCCACCCCCATGACAACCACCCCGACACGCGAAGTCGTTTAGCAAACGCGCCCCAAGAAGGATTCGAACAGTTTGCAGGGCTGTTTAGCAAACGCCCAGGGCCGTTTAGGAAACGCCCATTGTCCGGTCTAGGGGGTCTTTCCTCCCTGGATTGTAGCTTTGGAAATCCTGACGACAGAGAGCCACAGCGGCGACCCCGGCGCCGGCCGCCGCCGCCGCCGCAGCCTTCGCCGACGCTGCCGAGGACGCCGCGGCCGCCGCCGACACGCCGCCGCCCCGTGCCAAGGCCGCCGCCGCCAGCTTCGCCGGGCAGGGAGCAGCCTGGCCTCCTCCTCCTCCTCCTCCTCCTCCTCCCTCCTCCTCCCTCCCTCCTCCTCCTCCTCCTCCTCCCTCCTCCTCCTCCTCCTCCTCCTCCTCCTCCTCCTCCTCCTCCTCTTCGCTCTCCGCCTGCCCCTTCTGAAGGCAAGGAGATCAAAAAGGGGAGTCCGCCCGTGGCGACACGAGTCTCCCGCAGGCTCCGGGAGGCCACGAGAACTGCCTCGGCCCGCGAACCTGGATCCTCGCGCTGCCCTGAGAGCCGGCGTCGCGAACAAGCACACAACAACGAGAAAAACCACGAGCAAACTACCTCGACCCGCGAACCTTGATCCTCGCGGTGCCCTGAGATCCCACGTCGCGAATGAGCACACAACACCGAGAGACACCACGAGCAAACTACCTCGGCCCGCGAACCTTGATCCTCGCGCTGCCCTGAGATCCGACGCCACGAACAAGCACACAACACCGAGAGACACCACGAGCAAACCACCTCGGCCCGCGAACCTTGATCCTCCTCGCTGAGATCCGACGTCGTGAACAAACACACAACACCGAAAGACACCACGAGCAAACTACCTCGACCCGCGAACCTTGATCCTCCTCGCTGAGATCCGACGTCGTGAACAAACACACAACACCGAGAGACACCATGAGCAAACTACCTCGGCCCGCGAACCTTCATCCTCGCGCTTCCCTGAGATCCGACGTCGCGAATGAGCACACAACAACGAGAGATTCCACGAGCAAACTACCTCGGCCCGCGAACCTTGATCCTCGCGCTGCCCTGAGATCCGACGTCGCGAATGAGCACACAACACCGAGAGACGACACGAGCAAACTACCTCGGCCCGCGAACCTTGATCCTCGCGCTGCCCTGAGATCCGACGTCGCGAACAAGCACACAACACCGAGCAACACCACGAGCAAACTACCTCTCGGCCCGCGAACCTGCATCCTCGCGCTTCGCAGAGATCCGACGTCGCGAATGAGCACACAACACCGAGAGACACCACGAGCAAACTACCTCGGCCCGCGAACCTTGATCCTCGCACTTCGCTGAGATCCGACGTCGCGAACAAGTACAGAACACCGAGAGACACCACGAGCAAACTACCTCGGCCCGCGAACCTGCATCCTCGCGCTTCCCTGAGATCCGACGTCGCGAACAAGCACACTTTTGGTAGGTGGATCTCTCAAGCTCTCCGCCGCCTCTGGCGGTGTGCGTTGCGAGCAGGAACACGGCACAGCCACAGGAAAGCGAGTCATTAAACCCACAGCAAAAAGCCTGAGATTCGACGTCGCGAGCAAGCACACCGCACCGAGAGACACCACGAGCCCGACTCTGCTGCTTCCGCGGGACTCCTCGAGCCGGCGCGGCCCGTGCAGTGCCCGGAGCCCGCCCGGCAACGCCTGGGCGCGAAACGCGGCAGCAAACAGAACACGCCACGGGCGGATCTCTGGTGACAAACCAACAACCCCCCCACACACACACACACACACACACACACACACACACACACACACACACACACACACACAAAACAAATCAATGGACCTCCTGGACTGGCCTCCGCTGTACCCTTGGCTAGAACATGGCACAACACATCTGGGATGTCAGACGGGAGAGCATGCGGTAGACCATGCGGGAGGCCATGAAGGGATACCACACAGGATACCCCGGCGGGAGGCCATACGGAAGACCATGCAGGAGCCAGAACAAGAGCCGAAAAGGTCAAAATGACAACTCCTGACGGTGGGCTTTGCCAACCGCCGCACGGCGAATTCGTGCGTGACAGTACTGACGAACCAACAACAAACACCCATACCCATAGGGGGTTCGGAGAGGGCTATGAGTGTAGTGTCGGATGGGGGTCCCCGCTCGAACGGGAGCGTTCCCCAGGGTCCGACAACCCGCACCCATACCCATAGCCAGTCCTCCTCCCAACGACCCCCCTGTGGGTATGGATGTGTGCTGTTCGTTCGTCATTCAGGGCGCGCCGCGGCAGAGGAAGGCGCCGCTCCGCGCTGCGTGGTGCCGCGCCGCGCCGCGCCGCGGCGGGCGGCCCGCCCGCGGCGGGCAGTCGGCACGGGGAGCGGCCCGTGCGCCCCGTGCGGCGCTGGCGGCGGGCGCCCGGGCCTTCCCGCACTCGGAGGGGTTGTCCGCCTCCCTGCCGCACGGGCCCTCCTGGCGCAGGCGCACGGGGCGCCCCTCGGCGGAGGCGGGCGGGGGCGGACCGCCCCGGGGGGGCGCGCAGATGCGCGCCGCCGCCGAGGAGCCTCGACGAAGACACGGGCGATCGAAGACCCTGCACAGATGTGGGAGGGGGAACGGTACACGCCGCCCAGAAGGAGTAGGTAACACACATGAAGTAGCAAGGCGGAGAAAGTAGATTGGGCTCAGGCTCAGGCCCCCCCAGAGAATAACAGAGCACAGCAAAAGCATATCGGTTCTTGAAGCAGGAAGGCGCTTGAAATAGATTGGGATCCGGGAATCCAAAAATACCTACTAACAACGACCGGCGTGTATCGGGGGGGACTGGCTGAGGGCAGCAAACACTGAGCTAGAATCGGCGACTCATCCTCGATAGATCGGCGACAAGCCCCGAATTGCTAACACAAACTTTCCTGGGCGGGGTGGTTACCGGGCACCTCACGCTGACATGGAGGATTACGGATCCGTGGATCAGGCGCGTGGACGCCAGATCCACGGATCGGGCAAGGTGCCCCCATGAACATGAGGCCAATGCCACCTCATAAGGCGACAGAGCGCGCCGATGTTGCATGGAAGCGGGACCTATCGAACACGCGCCCCTACATAGAAATCTGAAGTGCCAAGACTGCGGCAGCTTCGTGCTGTGCTGACTTCTGCGTTGGTTTTTCTGACACGGCGTGGGTCGCTCGACCTCGAACGATCGGAAGAGCTTCGATCGCCAACGTGTTCCAGGCTGGCCCACCCTGGACCGCTGGCGGCGTTCAAACTCGAACGGCCGCGGCGGGGCCGCCGCCGCGTCGGGACGACGTGAACCTGCCGTCACCCGAAGGCGAGGCACGCGGGCAGCGGGCCGCACGCCGAACGCGGAGCCCGCCCCGGGAGGTGGAGGGGGGAGGAGAGCGAGGTGAGCGAGGAGGAGCAGGCTTGCACTTGAGCTCACGATCGGCCGGCTGATCGCAGAGCATCGAACCCAAGCGAAAGGGTATCTCGCAGAGGGCCACGACGGCGACGGCGACGGCGACGACACCAGCAGCGGTGGGGGCAGTGACGGATGCAGGGCGGTGGGGGAGGGCTGGCGGCCTGGCGGCGGGCCACGCTCCTGCCTCCTCCCGCCTCCTGAGGCCGCTCTGGCCACGGAGTCTGTATTAACCCGTCTCCGAATCTCGCGCGCCACACAAACTAAACCGCAATGGAAAAGGGTACCCGCTCCTTCAGCACATGGCTGGCAATCCACGGGCAGGGAAGGTGAACGCGACGCTGATTCCAATGCGAGCCCGCCAAGAGCCCTCGCATCAGGTTCCGGTGATGGACCCCGAACCAGCAGAATGTACGCGGGCAAGCTCAAGGACGGGTTTCCAACCGGGCGCATCCCAGTCATCGACGCTGCCTGGCAGGAACACAACCATCCTGTGGGAGGCCACTCGAACATAATGCGAAACTGCAAGGCTCAGGCAGGCGCAGGAACAGAACATCAAGTCCAACTCTCGACCCCCTGTCGCCCACCGCCACCGTCGGACCAGCGCACCCACCCGACCCTCTGCACAATGAGAACTAATGCCTGCAGAGGGTCCTTGCACGAAACCCAGCGCTTCGACCTCTGCATGGACTTCGTGGCGCGCGCAAACGCTCGGTGCATCCATTTTTGGCAAGCGTCGCGGCTCAAGTGGACGCCCCGCAGGATCTGAACGTACTGCTTGAGGCTGCCCATTGCTGTCAGAACCAGAGGTTCCCTGCGCCAGCCTGCTTTACTGCTTCACTGGCCCCGATTGCCAAGCCTAGTGAAGTCCCCTCTGGTAGGCAAGCCTCCGCCTTCGCTGCCACGACACGGAGGCCGTTCGAACGGCCGTCTGGAATGCAAGTGGTACTCGGATACTCGAGCCCCACAGAGCGACAACGGACGGGCCCGCCGTACTGGCCGAATCGACCTTGACCCTCCCCGCTGAAAGGACCTGTCCAAGGAAACCTACCGTCAGCACGTCGCCTTCCAGGTCCCTGTGGATCTGGGCGCGTGCTTCAGGCCCCACCGGGAGCCAAGACATCCACCAAGGTATTGTCGCTAGCACGCCCCCCAGCCTTGTTCCAGGGAATGTTTTGGGATATGTTTGCACATGATCGGCGGTCGTCGCGAAGGCTCTGAGGAGCTGGAGCCCAACTGTCACAAGTCCGCCCAGAGCCCGAAACATAGCATCACCGCGGGCATTGCGCAAAGAAACCATGTGGCTGTCCCGGTCTTCAGCGGCCAGGGTTGAGATGATCACAACTGGCCACTGAGGTGGCGCACGAACAGCCTGCGATGACAGCGCTGCTGGGCAAAACTAGCTCGCCAGTAATGTTCTGAAGACTCGCACAAAGGTCGGCTCGGTATAAACAGCACAGTGCCCTTAGCAACTGCAGCGGGTTCTTCACAACTCGAGCTGCCTGCAGCAGCTCGTGGTGGCTGAGCTGTTCATAGTGTTTCTGGAGTCCGAACAATGCTGAGAGTCCAATGAGAAGCCCTTCGTCTCGCCTGCGATCTCAACGCATTTCGGGTCTAGTCACGCTTATCGCATGCTGACGAACTGCGTTGGCCCCAGAAAAGCTTTCACCCGTGGGTACGCTCTCACCTGTGACACTCGAGGTGCCCAGCATTGGAGTGCACTTTGGCCCATAATGGGAGGAGGCCTATCGCCCCCCCCCCGCCCCGCCAAGCTTGTCCAACCACACGATGAACACTGACAACAAGCTATATATGTCTCGACTCCTCTGCAAAGGGCGCTGAATACGTCTGCGAAACGCACAGCAAACTGCCTGGGAAACCAGGCCAACAACGTGGGGTGGACACTGTCCCACCCCAAAGCCGTGTTCGGGGAGACCGTCTTACCATGATGGGGAAGACCGAGGGTGAGGTCCGAGTCCCGCTCAGCCTGCTGCCAGATGCTTTTCTATTCTAAGGTGGACTAGGGTCTGCTGTCCCGCCAGCTGAGCACGGACCTCTCCCTGAACGTGGTCACTCAAAACAGGAGCCATAGCTCCTGACGCGCCATTGCTAAACCGATGTGCAAGCCTGCCACCTTTCAGAGACGCCTCTTCAAAGCATGCTTCCTACTGCTCGCGGGCTAGCTTCGCATCCGAAAACAACCCGTATTGACAGGCTTCCGGGATCTCATCGAGCATCTCAGTCCTAAGATCTGGGCCCTTCAAAGCAAGAGATCCAGAGCTTTCCTGTAGTTCAAGAAAGGGCTGGCAGTAGTAGGCAGAAAGGCGTCAGCCTCTGACAGAAAGCTGAGGAGCTTTGCTTCCTCAGCCTTTCCCGAGGGGTGTCACTGCTAGGCCCATTGGAACCCTGGAGGCTGAGGAGATGCGAGAAACCCTCATGAGCGAAAGCCAGGCTTGCGTGCCCAGCGTGGCCCCCCGCCTAAGCTCTCTTCCCCATGCTGCCGCAAAAGGCAGTAGAGGCAGGGTGATGGAGTAGAGGAGGAGGAGGAGGAGGAGGAGGAGGAGGAGGAGGAGGAGGAGGAGAAAGAGGAGAGGGAGGAGGAGGAGGAAAGGGAGAGGGACGAGAGGGGGGATGATTAGAAGCAGGCAGAGGAGGCAGAGACGAAGCGGGAATTGAGGTTGCGGGGAGGGCAGAGGGGGACAACGCAGACTCGGAGAGATGAGGGGGGAGCAGAAGAAGGAAGCGAGGAAGGGGAGCAGGGGGGAAGCGTACACGCACGTGCACGTACATATACAGACATGCACACACACACACACACACGTCTGATCAAGTTGCACAGCGCGGCTCTCCTTGTCCTTACCTGGTCCGTCCAGCCAGCCCATGTAAGCCGAGCTCCAGTAGGTCATCACCGGGGTGACACCTGGCAGGAGGAGAAAGGTTGGAACACTGAAGCCATTGCCACAACATGGCCGTCGCTGGCTGTGTGACTGCCTCCCCGCTTTACGGCTGCAATGCCATCTTCCCATCGGGAAACTAAGCAGCACCCCCATATGACTATATGATCGTACTGGCATCGAAGCCCCAAGAACAGTTCGATCTTGACCTGCTACTCGTCCTATGTATTATGCGCCCCAACAAATATCTGCGCGCGGACTCTCTCTCTCATACATACACTGAAGCCTCTCCATGTACCCATATAGACATATATGCACATAGCCTGTTCCCCCCTCTCTCTCTATCTCTCTCTCTCTCTCTCTCGTTCTCTGTCTCTCTATCTCTCTCTCAATAGTATATCGTTCTCGATCTCTCTCTCTCTCTCTCCCCCTCTCACGCACATGTCCAAGGACGGATAACGGTGTGCCTGAGTGTTCTATTCATCTTGACGTCACCCCCATCGTCTCTCACGTCGCCTCAGAACATGTCACGCGCGGGTTGCCATCGCGCAACACGTTGTTCATCGTCACCAGTACAATCATCATAATCGTCATCATCATCACCACCACCATCATCATCATCACCACCACCACCACCATCATCATCATCATCATCACCACCACCATCAGCAGCAGCAGCATCATCATCATCAGCATCATCAGCATCATCATTATCATCATCATCCGCATCATCACCATCAGCATCACCATCATCATCATCACAATCATCAGCATCCCCATCCTCATCAGCATCATCCTCATCCTCATCCTCATCATCAGCATCATCATCAGCATCATCATCATCAGCAGCAGCATCATCGTCATCATCACCATCACCATGCTCATCATACCAGTAATCGTCCGCGTCAACATCATCGTCCATCGTAATCCGCATCATCACCATCATCATCAGCGTAATCGTCAACGTCATCATCATCAGCAACACTATGCGTATCACCACCAGCATCACCCCCTCACCACACCAATCGCCAGCATCGCCATCATCATGATCAGCAGCATCAGCATCATCAGCATCATCACCATCAGCATGAGCATCATGGCCATCATCATCCTCACCATCATCATCATCATCATCATCATCATCATCATCATCATCATCATCATCCTCATCATCATCATCATCATCATCATCATCATCATCATCATCGCCATGATCAGCATCATCATCAACAGCACCAACATTAGCATCAGTATCATCATCAACTCATCATCACCATGATCAGCATCACCATCCTCATCCTCAACCTCGTTTTCCCAGACATCATCACAATCATTCATCAATATCGCATCCTCCTATTTTTCTGTATCGTCATCATCGCCATCGTCGGCACCATCATCAACAGCATCATCAGCAGTAGCATCATCATCGTCAGCATCATCACCAACAGCATCATCATCACCACCACCATCATCATCATCAGCATCATCTCAGCAACATCATCATCAGCATCGTAAGTGTCATCATCACCAGCATCATCATCGTCATCACCATAACCATCATCATCATCATCATCAGCATCGTCATCGCCATCGTCACCATCATCATCAGCATCATCATCATGATCAGCATCATCATCATCATCATCATCAACATCATCCGTCGCCCTACTGGAAATCAGACGGCTAAGAATTCAGGCGTGCCCGGGGCATAGGTACACTTCAGGCCGCGCCTGAGTTATGAAACTTCAACGTGCTCGAGTAGCCTCCCCGTCCTCCCCATCAATCCTCCCTCCTCCTCTTCTGCCATTTTGCTCCATCTCTTCCTCCTCCTCCTCCTCCTCCTCCTCCTCCTCCTCCTCCCTGGCCCTCCCTCTCGTCCTCCTCGTCCCCTTCATCCCTCTAGGAAGGGGAGGGGGAGGGTTTGGCATCGCTTGCGACTTAGGTGGCTCTGTGTGGTCGACGTGTGTGATTGGATGTTCTAGAGCTTCTCCTCCAATGTGATGATTCGCCTGGCCCGTCCGCTTCGCCACTTGTTTGGCCGTCGACCAAAGACGGAAACTCGACGTGGAACCCGAACAAGCCTGAACAGCTGACATCCCCTGCGCAGCTCTCGGTCGACCGCCCGTGGGTTACCACCCTTCACAAGGGTGGTGCTGCAAACGGTAGCGTAGCGTAGGGCCGTGGATCACGCCTGTTTCACCAAGGTGTTTCCAATGGTAACGTGCCCCCCTCCCACACACACACACACACACACACACACCAGAACAGGATGAGGGACACTCGCACCCCGCTCTGACATCGCCCAGACCGCGAAGCGCCAAGCGCGACTAATTTCGCATCCTGTGGTGGCCCTCCAAGCAAGCTTCCGAGAGGCTCCCCGACCTCTCAGAGACCACCTCCTCGCCGTGCCCCCCCCCCCTTCGTCGCCGACGGTGCGGGGCAAGATTAACCAACATCGAATCGGGAAATCGCACAGAATCGGACAAACGGCCGGATCGGGCCGCAGCGGCATGGGGTCGGAACAGAATCGGATCGGCCGCGCCAGGGCGAACAACAGTGCCACGCAAGCGTCGGGCTGAATCGGATCGGACGAAAGTCGGAATCGAACTGGATCGGGCCAGCCAGAGTCAGTACACGAGAGGCCCTTCCAGAAGAAACCTTCCACAAGAAACCCAACCCTTGCCCAGGGCGTCCCTTGATGTTTGGCGTGGGAGCGCTGGGAACCCAAGAACCCCTGCGCACCTTAGAGGCAAGCAGGGTGTTTCTTGGCATGGGCCTCCACTGCTATCGAATCGGCTCGATCAGATCGAAACGAATCCCGAGGGGCGGCGCGCGCGCACCTCGGTCGAGCTCCCGCGTGAGCTCCGAGAGGGCCTCCCGGCCACTGCGCGGGAGGTACCTGGGGAGGGGACTACGACGGTGGACCACGACAACGGCGACGGCGGCGGCGACGACGACAGTAACGACGACGACGACGACGACGACCGATGCAGACGGCAGACGCCGACCACGTCTGGACGACGACGATCCGCCGGGAAGACGCAGACAAGGAGGAGGGGAGCACAACCGCATACCCCCCAAAAGACCTTCTACGAGAGGAGGAGGAGGAAGAGAGGAAGGAGGGAGGAGGGACCAGGGAGTAGGGAGGAGTGAGGAGTGAGGAGTGAGGAGGGAGGGGAAGGAGGGAGGAGGGAGGAGGGAGGGTACATGAGGGAGAGGAGGGAGGGAAAAGGGTAGAAGAACAAGCAACCGCACAAAATAAGGATTTTGAGGTTCGCGAGGACTTCTTGGGTCGACGGTGGCCCCCCCCTGGCGGCGCCTCAGACGCCGACATGGAGAAGGGAATCCAGGCCCGGCCAGACAACTCACCATCACATCGTTCAGTGTGAGTCTGAACAGCGGGAGAGGGAACGATATAGTACGGCATTTTGCGGAAGGCCATTCGAGCAACACAACGGCATTCATCAGCTTTGTCGATGAAGTAGAATCTCAGTTTTTGTGAAGATATTGCTTCAGGCCAGGTCCTTATCTTCCTTCCACGCCTCGCTCCCCCTTCCCTACCCCTCTTTTCCCACCCCTAGCTGCGTTCCTCCTCATTCCCTGCCCTACGCATTTCTCCCGTGGCACCTGCGCACGCCAATTCAGCACTCGTCACATGAATGATGCTGGCCGTTGGCCGATCACCCATTTCTGCGTGCTGTGTCTGATCATCAATGGTGTTCCCGTTGCTCCCCCCCGCCTAGCCTTGATGCGCCACCCAACGTCTACACGCAATTCGGCAAGTTTGCGCGCTGTACGCCACCGTCCCCCTGGCACGTTGAGGCGTCCTTAAATGCCAAGGGCTGGCTGCTAAGGCTTCTGCTTTCGTCCACGCCCCCCCGAACTCTCGTCACAGACTCGCGCGTGCACCGCCCCTGAATCCGAGGCCAAGATCCCTCGAAAAGAAAAAAATAATCGCGCTCCCGAGCGTCCAAGACGGCCCAAGGTGGCCACAACGCGGGACAAGATGGCCTCGAGATGGCCCAAGACGCCCTGAGGCGGCCTAAGACGGCGACCAAAGGACCCGGAATACAGCCAAGACCAGTTCACAAAAAACCTATCGCAAGAAACCCAACCCTGAAAATCGCCGAAGCTTCTTGGGCCAGAGATGTTTTTTTGCTTAGCGGATGCCAGCGACGGAACTGAGGGTACCCTGGACCAGGCGGTCTCTTGGTGGCTCGCGCAAAGCACCTCAAGGTCAAGAAACCCAAAACGATCGCGAACGAAGCATCTGAACCCTGTATGATCAGGAAGACTTGGAATTCCCGCGCAACGGGCCCCCTGGCGCAAGACGCGCTCCTTGCACGCTCCCCAGGCATGTCCGCCCCAGCACGTGCGAATCCCGACACGATCTGCACGTCCGAGAGGGGATAGGCGACGTGAGGGAATCTCTCGCTAGCCTTCGGGTACGCACGCCAAAACGGGCTGGCGCACGGGTGGCGCTGCACATTCGGATGCGGTGGGTGACGACACCCAGGGCACCGTCCACGCCTGTTGATTTGTTTTTTCCTTCGGACGCGCGCCCCACAAAGCGCAAGCGCCCTTTCCAAGACTACTGGCCCCCCTGTTCTGGATGGGCGACGCAAAGGACTCTTGGAGGAACTGCCGAAGAAACGCAGGGTACCCTCCATGCCTGTTGGTCTCTTGAACCTTCGGGCGCGTGCCCAAACATGCGCCCGAGCACGGGGGGGAAGCCAATTCGGATGCGGTGGGCGAAGAAACCCAGGAAACCTTCTATGCCAATTGGTTTCTTGAACCTTCGGGCGTGTGCCTCAAAAACGCGCCCGCACACGGGGCAAAGGAGGAGCACATTCCGATGGGGTGGGCGAAGACACCCAAGGTATCCTCTATGCCTGTTGGTTTCTTAAACCTTCGGGCGCGTGCCCCAAAATGCCCCAACTTCCACGGAGCTCAGAGTATACCCTGCCGGCTGTGGTTTCTTCACGCCCGCTGCAAGTCTTCAATCCGAATACGCACCAAATAAACCAAGGTGGCCCCAAGACGGCCTAAGAAAGACGGCCTAAGAGGAGGGAAGAGGAGGAACAGGAGGGAGAGGAGGAGGATAATCACGAGGAGAGGTTCAGCTGAGTTGAGCTGGGCCCACGACACCCTCAAACCTGAAGGTGCCCCCGAAGACGCCGCGCCTTGCTACCATCGCGATGGCTTCCAAGCAAGCCTGCCCAGAAACACGGTCGGGGAGCTCTACGCTTCGTGGGCCCCAGAAGCGGCAGGGCAACTTGTTCACCGTTTTCGGCAAAATGTCTCTTGAAAAGGGAAACGGTACAAACGGCGACTGGAAACAGAAAAAAAACGGCTCCAGGATTAGAACCGGATCCGGAACCGGCAAACAAACGGCGACGGAACCCGCAAAAAAAACGACGGAACCGCCTAGAACACGGCGAAACGGAACCGGTGACAAAAACGGCCCTGTCGTTTCTAAGGCCCGCTGAGGTTCTACGTGCCTGGGCTGGCCCCGGGCCGAAACCGCAGAGCCCCGTGCAGAGGGCGAGGAGGACGAGGATGATGCGGAGAGCGCGGTCAGGGAAGTCCCTATGCGTCTGTGCGCCCCGCTGGCCCTAGAATGCGCAGCGCGACGTTACTTTCGCGTCTGGTGGGCCCCACGATTCGGGGATGGACAGAGCCCCCTTTTCGGCAAAACGTGGTTTAGCGAAAACGACCTCGGGCCCAGACCTGGCGGGCGCAAGCCTGGAAAATTACGGCCGCCGCGCCCTTTCGGGTATCGAAGACGGACAACCCGCCGACCCCTTCTGGGTCTCTAATCGTGTTAGATTATCCCCCCTAATCCCCCCCCAGGGACCCAAACCGGCAATTGACCCGCCCCCCCCCGCTTGCCTGGCGCGACCCTGGACCGAACGCGTCATGGGGGAGCGGAGGGCTTCAAAACGAGCCAAGAAGGCACCAAAACGCTCCCCAGACGGTCCAAGAGGGCCACGGGTCGCCGAAATATCGCTCCTTGAGCCCACGATGGCATCCAGACGGCATCCGAAGCTGCCAAGACGCCCCTAACACCCCAAAGATGCGTCCCAAGAGGGTCCCAAGAAACAATAATCGTCCAATTCTTTTTTGAATATACAAAAATAGCAGACTCGCCTTCTCGGCACTCACACCGCCCAAGACGGGCAAAGAAACCTTCAATATCGCCCCCGGACAGCCGAAGGGACCCCCAAGAGGGGTCGAAGAGTGTCCAAAAACAGTCCACGAAGCCCCCAAACCAGCCCGAGAGGGACCCCAGACGGCTCCAAGAGGGACTCCAGAGGGCACCTTTTGAAGCCTCCCCAAAGCGCCCCCAGCCTGCCCCAAGAACACCCCAAGAGGCCCTGAGGGACCCCCAAGAGAACCTCAAAGGCCTCCAAGAAGCCCCCAAGAAACCCCCAACAGGCCCCAAAACTTGGTCCAAGATGCCTCGAGGCGGCCGGATATGGCCTGCAGACAAGCCAATATGCCACCAAAAGGCCGCAAAAGAGCACCAAGAGGTACGATAACAACAACGAAACAACAGGGGCGATGTCGAGCGCCGTGTCATGATTCGGACAAGCTTCGTGGAATGCAGTCCTGGAAGCGCGGTAGTTTATATAGGGGTTGGCGGATGTGGTGCAAACCTATAGAATCCACGTCCGGAATTGACGTGCTGAGCGGCAGCGCTTTCCGGCGAAAGCCGTAATCCAACGGCTACGACACAACCGTCGACCCAAAGTGGCCACCCCCATTTGGGGCTCAAAAACGTGCAAACAACTATGTAAAATCGATGATTCGGGACTTTGGGCCCCCTGGGAGGCCCAATAGGGCCTCAAGACGGCTCCATATGGCTTCACAACGGGCGAAGACGGCTCCAAGACGGTCCATGATGGCCCCAAAAAGGCCCAAGAAACTCCTAAGACGTCCCAAGAGGCAAGAGGGCCCCAAGACGACCCCCAAGACCTCCAGAAGCCAAAATCATTAATTGTCCTATTAGTTTTTTGATGATTTAAACGTTCTCGCCTCTCTCGACTCTCAGAAGCCCATGGCCGCCCAGTCAGCCACCAACATTGCCCCATAAAGGCCCAAGAAGCCCCCCAAAGGGCCCCCAAACGGCCCAGGAGGGCCCCAAGACGGCACAAAGAGGCCCCCAAGGCGGTCCAAAAAAAAACCCGAGACGGCCCAAGAGGACCCCAAGAGAACCCCAAGGCGGCCGCGAGAGGCCCCCAAGACGGCCTCCGAAGGGGCGGAACGGCGCAAAAACGCCCCAAAACAGCCCAAGACGCCCCCAAGAGGCCACGAGAAACCCCCAAGAGGCCCCCAAGGGGCTCCAAAAAAAAATCCAGTGGCCTCCAAAAAATCCTCAAGAAGCCTCCAAGAGGACTCAAAGAAGCCCCCCCAAGGCCATACAACGACTGGAGTGTAATGTTATTTTTCTCCCCCTGGGCGAACTGCGGCGCAGCGCCAGCCAGGTTGAAATTGGTCACGGCGGCGCCCATGATTAGACCTGGCGCCGGAAGGGAAGATGGGGAGGGAGTATGAAAAGGAGGGGGGGGAGAGGCCCCAAAAAAGTCCCCAAGAGGCCCAAAGAAGCTCCCAAGAGGCCTCCAAGAGGCCCCCAGGAGGCTCCCAAGAGGCCCCGCGACGACGTGACTGTACATGCTCAGGACGTGCACCCCGCGAAGCGAAAGGAATTCACAAATCGACGTGTCAGGGTGGGGGTTCTGTCCACCCCCGAAAACTGGTGTGACTGTCGAGCGCCGCGTCCACTCCAGAGAGCTCCAGAACGCTCTGCGCGTTCCAAAATGCCCTCTGCAAAAATGTCTCCTCATGCGCACCTGGGGTATGGAGCTCTGAACTCTTAATTTTCGCTCGTGGTCGTTT